CTGAGGATGCTAGTGCCCAGTGGAAGGACCAACTCGAGGATGCTAGTGCCCAACTCGAGGATGCTAGTGCCCAGTGGGAGGACCAACACAAGGATGCCAGTGCCCGATGAATGGACCAGCCCGAGGATGCTAGTACCGGATGGAAGGACCAACCTGAGGATGCTAGTACTGGATGGAAGGACCAACCTGAGGATGCTAGTACCGGATGGAAGGACCAACCCGTGGATGCCAGTGCCCAGTGGAAGGACCAACCCAAGGATGCCAGTGCCCAGTGGAAGGACCAACCCATGGATGCTAGTGCCCGATGGAAGGACCATCCCGTGGATGCTAATACCCAGTGGAAGGACCAACCCAAGGATGCCAGTGCCCAGTGGAAGGACCAACCTGAGGATGCTAGTGCCCAGTGGAAGTACCAACTCAAGGATGCTATTGCCCAGTGGAAGGACAAACCCGAGGATACTAGTGCCCAGTGGAAGGACAAATTGGAGGATGCTTGTGCCCGATGAATGGACCAACCTGAGAATGCTAGTGCCCAGTGGAAGGACCAACCTGAGGATGCTCCTGCCCGATGAAGGACCAACTCTAGCTAGTGCCCAGTGGAAGGACATGCACTCTTTGCTTTGATTTTATGTGTATGGGTCTGAGTGTGTGTACCATGTGAATGCAGGTGCTTGAAGAGGCCAGAAGAGAGCTTCAGATACCCTGGGACTGGAATTTCAGGTAATTGTGAGCCATCTAGTGTGGATGCTGGACCTCAACCTAGGTCTTCTCTGAGAGCAGCAAGTGCCAGCTCTCCAGCCCCAGGATGTGTGCTCTTAATGACTGTTCCCACATAAGAACACTGAAGGAAAGGACTGGTGTCCAGTGAAACACTGGCATCATGTTCCTTAGTGAGATGAATACCTTAACATAGAAATGATGCTTTGTGTGTAAACAATCTCTAAGAGACAGCCAAAGTTAAAGATCAGTGTTTGGCCTAAATATCTTTACGCATAGCAGAATATTTATAAATAAATACAAGTACAGCAGAATATTCATAAATAAATACAAGTACATGCGAAATTGACATTTATATACAAAGTGCATTATATTTTATAACCTGGTGTGTGTGCATGTGTGTACATGCATGGGTGTGTCTGTGTTCCTATGTGTGTGGGTGTATATGTATGTGCAGATATGCATGGAGGCCAGAAGTGCACATTGGGTGTTGACTTCATGAGGTGCACTCCTTAATGTGTTGAGACAGTCTCTGAGTGGGGCCTGGGGCTCCTTACAAGGCTTAGATCCATGGCTAGTGAACTCCAAAGACCTGCCTGCCTGCCTGCTTCCCCAGTGTTGGGATTACAAGTACAAACCGTCATGCCCAGCCGAACTCAGGCTCTTACGCTTGCACGGCAAATACTTTACTGACTCCCTACCCTCAGAACCTGCTTTTTTTTTTTTTTTACAGTTATCACTGTATATTTAAGTGAAATAAAACTGGGATACAGTAGCCAGGTTTCGTGGCACAGGCCTGTAATCTCAGCATTCAGGGGGCAGATGCAGGAGGATCTTGAGTCTGAAGGCAGTCTAGGCTATATGGGAAGATATTGTCTTAAAAATACCTGACCAACCAATCTGTAAAAATTGGAAGGCAGTAATGGATGGGATGTATAATTATAGGATTGATTTATAAAATCTGCTATTATCCAAAGCAGTGACAAATATGAGCAGTCTTTCAGATGCCTGTACATTGTAATATAAAAAGGAAGTGACTTGCATAGGTAGGGCTTTTACCATTGATTTGTTGCCCATGGCCACTGACCAGGAATAAAGCTGAATTTCAGGTATAGTGAAGCTGTAACATTTTCCTCCATCAAGTTGGTGGAGGTCCCTGATGTTTACCCATGGTAAGAACCCCTGCTTTGCGGGGAAATCCTGGACCTATTCAGGACACCCAGGAGAGGCTAAGAGGCATGTGCTCACAGTCTCAAGAAATTCCGCCTGCAGCTCAGCAGACTTCTTCGCCGTTTCTTTGTTATTATGGAGTTGCTGCAGAGTCCACTCGAGGCTTATCTGTTCAGGACCCATAGATGGTATCTGCAAACAAACTCATCAAGCCAGCTTCTGGTTTTCCTGGCAGGCAGCAGCTTCTGACTTGGATTAGTTCCATTTTTACTGCAAACTCTTAAATTGTTAAGGTGAACTATTCATTTCATCGTCTTCCACCTTGGGGGACAGCAGGGTATGACCCTGAGGGACAGTCAGAGGCTGGGGCAAGTTGTCTACTTTGTTAATGGAGCATTCTTTGGGGAGCAATTCCTTGGCCAGCTGCCCATTCTTCTTCAACCTGCAGGCCTCCTGGTATGGGGGTGCGATGGGGGGTTGTGTGGGCGGAGTATATTTGTACTCAGAGCCATCTTCTAGATCCAGAGGGTAACTGCGATCCGAATCGTAGGCGCTGAGGTCCCCACAGGCCACAAAGGGTACAATAAAACGGGCAGGACCTTCCAGCTGGTTGAAATCGTATGAGTGGTCCAGCAGGGGTCTGGTCAGGTCTGGAATGAAGCCCTCAGGAGGGTCATAACCCTGACAAACAGCAAAGGCCTCAATGCTGGAGTTCCGGCTGCTCTTCGGCTTGGCACAGAGCACGCTGGAGAAGAAGATGCGCAGCTGGCTATAGAGCAGTGTTACATCTCGGCCCCGGAATATCTTGGCTACAAAGCAGCCCCCTAGCTTCAAGACATGTGTAGCAATGTTGAGAGCCGCTAGCAGAAGCTGAGCCTGCATATACTCGTCGACATCATGGAGGCCAGTGACATCAGGAGCCCCGTCACACACTACTAGGTCAGCAGGGCAACCCTCAAAGTGCTGGATGATCTCCTTGGCAGTGGAAAGCTGTGTGATGTCCCCCTGTATCTGGATCACGCCTGGAAGTGGAGCCATAGCCTGCAAGTCCACAGCCACCACCTGACCAGAACTCTGGCCCCCAATCTTTTGGCTCAGCACCTGGCTCCAGCTGCCTGGGGCTGCACACAGGTCAACTGCTCGCTTCACGCCTTGGAAGAGATTGAATTCCTCATCCAGTTGAAGCAGCTTGAAGGCACTCCGGCCCGCCAGCCATTCTCCTTGGCCAGGCGATAGTAGACATCCCGTTTATCCTTTGATGTGCGTCCCATCTCACTCTGCTGGGAGGCAGTGAGCTGATGCTGCTATCCTGTATGGATAAACAGGGTAGGGAGTAGGACACCACCTACCTTAGCTCTTGGATAGGGAGGGAAGCTGGATCACCCGCCTCAAGAAGAGTGTGCAAACCGGTGAAAAGAGGTAGGGCTCCAGTTGGTGTTCGCAGTTGACCCGAAGGCCTGTAGCACATACCTAGAGGTTGTTACAACGTGGCAAACTTTTCATTGTTAAATAGTTAACTTCCACCGAGGTCCAGACCAGAGCAGAGCAGAACCTATGACGTTCGTTAGTCTCGTCATCTTTTGTCGACATATCCGGGTCACAGGAACTGCGATTCCCAGGATGCAACTGACATTGCTTAGCCAATGCTGTTGCAAGGCTCGTGAGCCGGCTCTACGTTCTTTGTTTCAAGGCCAAGGTCCTGTAACTGCGGTAGCCGCCTCTTTTATACACCCTGGCGGTCGTTGAGCCTATGTACTACATTTCCCCTCAGAACCTGCTTTTAACTGAACAAAATACCATGGAGATTATAGAGAGTTTGGGCTAGTTTTACAGCAAACTGGATCAGAAACTACACTTTTATTTAGAAGGCTGACAACCATATTCTTAAGTGTGTCTGTCTATAGCTGTGATTCATACAGTGAGAGGTTAACTGATGAGCTTTGAAATGAGTGGGCTTGGCCCAGCTAATTCTGGGGAATGGCTGACTCCACAAGCGAGCCTGGTTTTTGTTTTACTGCTGGACATTACAGAGGCTTCTGTGTTTTAACACTGACCGTAAGTCTCCCAAAGGTGGCCAGACGGGTGGCACGCAGTACTTTGTTAGATAGCAGACACCTTTTATCAAAGCGCATCCATCCCGCTCTCTAGGGACAGTGCTCCGCACTTGTGTTCTTTGGCATAATCTCTGTTGGATCTTGGTATCAGGGTTATGATAAACCTGGAGATACATTATTTTTTCTTTTTCCTTGTAGCAGTTTTGTTTTGTCTTTATTTTTGGACACAGGGTCTCCCTACAAAGCCCTGGCTGTCCTGGAACTCACTATGTAGACTAGGTCTGGCCTTAAACTCACAGAGATTCGCCTGCCTCTGCCTCATGAGTGCTGGAATTAAAAGCAATCGATCGCCACCACACGGGGCTTTGTAGCAGCTTAATAACACAGATTGTCTGTTCCCTCATGGCGTGATTGGACTTGTTATCCATCCATGTAGACCTATGGTGTTTCTGGGTGGCACAGATGCCTGGAATGCATGCACACATTTGGATATTATCCCCACGGGATCTTTGGCTCCACAGATACTTCTGCTTAGCACACTAGCTTCAGGATCTGGCTATTCTGGAAAAGCCTGGGATGTGTAACTATGAGTCTTGGTGCATGAGCAAATCAAGCTGGCTACTGTGTATGATTTTAAATGTCCAGTTAGCACACATCCCCTTCAGGGCTGCAGGCCTGGCTGTGTAGGGGGAGGTGGTTCAGGGATCAAAGGCTGTTGCTGCCTTTCTGTCCAGCCTGAGGGCTCTGCTCCATTACATTGTGACTTCTTGTAAGGTTTCACAGGCACTGCAGGGGCAGGTATCCTAATCTAGATGCCTCCTCAAGGCTTGCCCCCAGGCCTCTGTGGGTAAATCATTCGCCCAGCAAGAGGGGCGAGCTGAGACCTGCTCTGAGCTTGGGGTCAGTCTGAGGCCCCGGCTGCGCCGCCACGTTAGGTCAGCCGGGCAGTGGAAAGAGCAGAGGGGATTGCCCTGGGGTGCAGTCAAGCCTACAAAGGGACAAGTGGGAGGGTGTCCCTGAAAGGGTCACTCCGGGCCTGCAGGCCTGGTGTCAGAGCGTCTTCCAGGGACCTACGGCCTGTCGAGCTGAGCGGTGGACGAGGGGGACGGCGAGGCCTAGCGGAGCCGAGTGGAGGCCGACTGGGGGCGGGGACCGAGGGCGCCAGGGGCCACAGGGCGGTGCGCTCCCGGCTCCGCCGCAGGCAGCGCGCCCCTCCCGCCCCGGCCCCGGCCCTCGCCGCCGCTGCCGTCGTTGTTGCCGCCGCCGCCGCCAGGCCGCGCCCCGCCCCTCGCCGCCGCCGCTCCCGGGGAGGCTGCGCTCGAGCTGCGGCGCCGGCTGCAGCCGCCTGGGCCCCGGGCCCGGCTCCTCCCGCGCCGCCCGGGCGATGAGAAGCTGCTTCTGCGTGAGACGGAGCCGGGACCCGCCGCCGCCGCAGCCGCCGCCGCCCCAGCGGGGAACAGTTAAGTGAGGCCCGCGCGGGAGGACGGGCGCGGGCGGGTGGGGGCGGGCGGGCGCGGGAGGACGGGCGGGGGCGGGCGGGCGCGGGAGGAGCCGGCCGGGCCCAGGCCTGCGGGCTGCGCGCCCGGCCCCGCGTGGGGACAGGCCCGGGAGGGCGGCCTGCGCCAGGCGCGGTGCTGCAGGCTCCCGGGGCTCCGGCTCGGCCTTGAGGCTGGAGCGAGCTGGGGACTCGAGTGGCAGCCCCGCTCCGAGGGTGGAGCCAGGTGAGGGGTGACAGGCTTCACGGGGGGCACACGCTAGGGACAGTTCCCTGGACTCGCTTGGCTTGGGGTCCGGCTCTCTGCTGTCACGTGGGTGCGGTTGAGCACGCACCTGACCCTCAGGCATCATTACCTGGGGGTACCCAAACTGTAGGGCACCTGTCTGCAAGGTGACCAGCCATTCAGGAAGCACGGTGGGCTTGTTGATGCAACCTCCCCTTGTAATGAGGGCAGGTGAGGCCTAAAGGGGCTGCTTGGCACAGCACCAGGGACCACATCCTCAGAGACAGGAACTGTGAATGAGGTAGACCCAGGAGCATCTTTGTTCCCTTTGTCTTCAGCACACAGCTGTCCCTGAGTTACCAGCCTATCTCTCTTCTCTGCCCTGACCCCCAGGACCTGTTCAGTAAGACAAGGAAGAAAACGACAGGCAGGCCCAAGGCAAATGACCATTGCCCCTTCTCCCTGCCCCCACGTGAGACCCAGAGCGCCTGAATTTCAGCCACATTGGCTCCTCTTTCAGGGCCTTTGTCTCTAGTGGTGCCTTCTTGGAGAGAATGTTTCCCGACAGCTGGCTGGATCCTGTCTCCTTTTACCAGGACTGCCAAATCTTATCAGTTGCCTTAGAAAAGTTAGAAGATAAGCCCCGGAGAATCCTATAGTAAATGACAAACTCCGAGTAGGCGGGGGTTAGTTACCAGAGATGGTGGCACCTTTCTTGCCAGCTGGGAAATCACTTGGGGGTGCTTTGAGGAATTGTGCCACACTCAGTGTTTAAGTGAGTCTCTGAGAATCGGGGCTTCTGCAAAGGCTCGGCCACCAAGACCCATGGAGGTTGACTGACCGTGGTGGCTGGTTCATTGAGTATAATAGCATCACCTTGTCTCCTCATCGTCCCTCCCTTTCTCTGGTACTGTGTCCCTGATACAGGCTAGCGACCTTTGCTGTGCCTATGTTGGTGGACCTTGACCACTTCAAGATTATTTCACTAAGGTTAAATCAGGGGCTTTAGAATGAGACCCTGCCTGTGTCTGGCTTTTTTTTTTTTTTTTTTTAATGTGCTGCCATTTCCTGGTATGTAGACTGAAGCTAATGAGTCTGTCATAGGGTTCTGGTGAGTAGAAATGAAGTGTTGCATGAGAAGCTAACATAGGGCCTGCCTTGGTGTGGTGAGTTACCAGTAAAAGCAGTTAGTAACCTTCCAGGGGCCCAGGATCAAACCTGTGCAAATGGGTGAGCTCAGCCACTGCGCTCTGTCCGCTAGTTAGCAGTTACTGTTAGACATTTGGTTACTTAGTTTATTTTCGAGTGCCTGTTTGCAGACATAAGAACGACCTTCTCAGGGCAATAGGAAGCTATTGATATAGTGATTTGGCTTGAGTCTGAGGGCTCCGGTTGAGTTTTGTCCCACTCTTTAGACCGTAGGTGACCCTAGTAAAGCCCTCTTTCTTTCTGCAATCCCCATTTTCTTAATTGTAAAAGTGGCTTACAAATAATACTTACCCCATAAGGATCATCAATCAGGAAGGCACTTGACCTTTCAAGAGGTGGAGAGCCTCATGAAAATTAAGTGCAAGCCAGCACTCAGCAGATGCTTGCATGATTTGCTGCTGGGGTCAGGCTCCACCAGAAAAAGAATTCAGGGATATCTTGACTTTGTACATGTCACAAGACCACGTGGCCATGTGAACGCAATGGCTGAATGCCTTCTCAACGCTTGAGGAGTAAGGGAGAGTCCCAACATTGAGTTTCTGTCCATGTCATGGCAGAGCTGCCTGAGGGCATCAGAAGCCACGTGGTGTGGGTCCCTCTGCTGTGGCCAGCTAGGAGTGCTCCGTGCTTCAGTCCAAGAGCAGTGGCCTCACCACACAGCCACACCGTGATGGCGCTGAAGTTGAGGACGGAAAGTGTCAAGTGCTGTTGGGACGAGGAAGGTGGCGAATGGCCGCATGGCTGGGAGTGGTTGGCTGAGGACACGGTTACTGGCTGTGGATGCCCTCTTTGGCAGTTGGTGGTGCGGGGCCCCTGGATGCCTACAGCAAACTGCTTTCTGTCCCTGGGGCTCTCCTCAACCTTCACCTTACTGTGCTGCCCCAGGGAACTGTGGTTTCCCAGTGCTGTCTGCAGAGCAGGGGTCTAAGTCAGTCCCTCACTCTAGCTGCCTGGCAGGAGAGCCACCAACCAGCAGGGTGTGTGACATCACCTCCCTTGTCCTGGACACCCTGTGGGCAGTGTTTGGTTTAGCTGACACATTCCTGGTGAGATGCTAAGCTTGTCCTGGCAGAAATATGAGAGCCCCATGGGCCCAGATCCCAGGGCCACATACAGGAGCTCAGTATCTCAGCTTCTCTGGGGAAGGAGGATCCTCTATTGCCTTCTAGTTTACTTAGTAAAAACAGGGTGTTCCTGTATTCTTTTTATCTATAGATACAGGCATGTGTGCGTATGCCACATCCACTCTTTAAAAAAATTAAAAAACTAGATACTGACAGAATGTTCAAAAGAGTGCCCCTATGGCCCGTAAAGGAGAGAAGTACACGATCTTTTTAAAGATGAGCTTTGTACCTGATAGCAGGTGAGGGTGGCGTGTGTGGAGGTCAGAGGACAGCTGTAGGAGTTGGTTCACTCCTTCCACCATGGGGGCCCCGGGATCAAACTCAGGTCAGCAGACTCAGTAACAAGTTCCTCGAGCTGCTGAAGCATCGTCCTGGCTCATATGAGAGTCTAAGATTTATTTTTATTTTAAATTATCTGTATGGGTGTATAGGCATATATACATGCGTGCAGGTACTCATGGAGGGCAGAAGAGGGGGTTGGAGCCCCTGGAGCTGGAGCTGGAGCTCGAGGGGGGTTGTGAGCCAGCCAACACAGGTGCTGGGAACCAAATGTGGGTCCTCTGCAAGAGCAGTACACTGTCTTAACCCCTGAGCCATCTCTCCAGTCCCATACGAAAGTTCTTAATGAGCCAAGCCAGCCTGTGAAGTTTATGGAAATGCAGACTCCAGGGCTTCATTTCCAGACTTCACTGAGGCAGAATGTCCAGGAAAGGGACCCCAGAACCTGCACACTTAGTAAGCTCATTTGGAGTATTCTATGTCTGCTGAGATCTGAGACCCACAGTTCTAGACACTTAGAAAATTGTTAAGTGGGGACAGCAACAACTTTACCAACTTAGCCAGGGGCAAGTGTATAGATTGGTGGCAGTAACTAGGACATAGTTGTACAACTGATCTGTGGAACTTTTTAATCTCTCTCTCTCTCTCTCTCTCTCTCTCTCTGTGTGTGTGTGTGTGTGTGTGTGTGTGTGTGTGTGTTTGTGTGGAGGTCAGAGGTCAGCCTCAGGTGCTATTCCTCAGAACCTTCTGTATTGTTTTTTGAGGCAGGGTCTCTCATTGGTCTGGGTTTATGATAATCGGCCAGGCTGGCCTAGGCTGTCCAGCAAGCTTCCTATCTCTGTCTCCTCAGCACTGGGATTACAAGCATGGGTTACCATTTCTGGCTTTTTATTTATATATTTATTTATTTAAAAATTTATTTTACGTGTATTTATTTTGCTTTGTATGTAAGTCTGTACACTGTGTGCATGCCCGGTGCCCGTAGAGGATGGAAGAAGGTATCAGATCGCCTGAAACTGGGGTTGCAAATGGCTGTAAGCCAACATGTAGGTGCTAGGAATTGAACCCAGATCCTTTGGAAGAGCAGCTATTGCTCTTTAGAGCTGAGCCTTGTCCAGCACCACCCACCCACCTCCATCTGACTTTTTGTCTTGGGTTCTGGGGGCTGAACTCGGGTCATCCTGTATTTTCAAGGCTGAATCATTTCTCCAGACCTAATTGCTAGACTTTTTTTTTGGCTTGCAAAATTGAAATCATTAAACAACTCCCCATGTCCCTTTTTTATGGCTTCTGGCAGCCTCCATTCCACTTTCTGTCTCCCTGAGTAAGACCGTGCTGGGAGCCTTATGGACTGGAATGCTGCTATGTGTAACTTTTTCTGGCTGCCTTATTTTACTTAGCACAATATCCTCACAGTTTGTCACGTTACGGTGTGGGTCAGATTTTCCCTCCTTTTGAGGGTTGAATGAATGTTGATTGAACATATTGATTGTATTTTATTTGCCCATTCATCATGTTTTGGCCATTGAATAAGGCTGCTCTGACTCTGATTTCAATTCTTTGTGGTATATAGCTAGAAATAGATCATATGGGAACTTTTTTGTTTGTATTTTTGTTTTTTGGTTTTTTGAGACAGGGTTTCTCTGTGTTCTGGAACTAGCTCTGTAGACCAGGCTGGCTTCAAACTCACAGAGATCCGCCTGCTTCTGCCTCCTGAGTATAAGACAGTTCTTTCACTGTGGTTGGGTTTTAACTTGCATTTTCGATGGACTTCCTAGTTGAACATCTTTTCCTGTGCCATGCACAGTCCATGCGTTGCTCACCCATGGAGAAATGTTTGTTCTCGTTTTCCCACTAACAAACGTGTGAGTTGACTTTTGTTGAGCTGTTGTTCTTCATAGGACCCCTCATCACGTATCTGTGAGCAGATATAGTTGACAGATATCTTCCCCCAGCCTTTGAATTGTCTTTTTACTCTGTTGATTGTGTCCTCTGATGCAATTCTGATTGTTTTATTCACACAGTAATTACATAGAGAAAATGTATCTACTACTCCGGCTTCATGTGGTGAAAACTCAGGCCTGGGTTGAATGATTTCTGTAGCGCCACACCGCTGTGAGTGTCTG